TAGTCTGTTCTTGGGCAGATGACCTAACCCCTCCTGACCTAGTTAGTGGCAGGTTGCCCGACCCATTGAGCCCTCGTGCACTACCATGTCATAAGCTCTACTCTATAATCTGCAGGGGAAGCTTTCTTATTGCTCGGGTAACCAGAGAGTCAGCAGATTCCCCAAACCGTGCTGCCTACCATGGCAGGCATAACGTGATCAACGCAGCCCAAGGTCAAGGACATCCCTGCTTTTCCCTTGGTAGCTAGACACCCGTTGAGTGACAGGACAAGCACTCCGCACAAGTGCAGGAAATAGTAATGGGTACAGTTGCATGGTTATATGCCATTGGATTCCTAGTAGAAGTGCCCACCAGAAAGTCAGGAGTGAGAACTATCTCGGTATCCCAGAAAAGGGGGCCTGTAGCACCCTGTTCAGTGCCTCGTGCCAGGTAGATAATCAGTAAACATTTGTTGATTGAAGTCCCAGAAGGGGAGGCCCACTGCTTCACAGATAATGTTGTTGGTGATGATGACGACAATGATGATGGCGACAGCCAACATTATTTTGTGCTGGTACTGCTTTCTAAGTTTCCCATGTACTCCTTCATCTCATCCTTACAGCAGTTTTATAAAGAGGCATTAGCTATTAGAACCCCCATTTCTCAGATGTGTACCCTCGGTGTAAACTGAGTCACAGAAAGGTCGAGTCATTGGCCCACTGGAAGGCACCGAGGCAGAATGCAAACTCATATTGCAGACTCTTCCCAATCCCATCGCACACCTCAAATAAGGGTGCCAGAAAGACCGTGCAGAGCTTGGGAGCCACCCATGTCATTTTCCGGACCATGAAGCTGGAGCAGACATGGAGAAAACTGAGTATGCTCTAAGACCTCCCTTCCTGACACCTGCCCCTGCAGGCACCCACCAATCCTGTTCCTTTTCTCAGGCTTTCCACCCAGCCCCTCCTCTCCATATTCAAGGGTGAGCTCTTTTCCCTTTGAAAGCCACCCAGTCTAAGAGCTAGATACTTAGATCTGATTTGGCATGCTTAGTCCAAGCCAGGGAGCCCCCACAGAAGCTTGGGAACCAGGTCCCTCAGGCTAGAGTGTTGAAGCGGGGCCTAATTGTGCTAATCTTCCCCTCTCAACGCCAAGACATTGGGGGCTTTACCCTTAATACTTCAGGAGCCCCACATGCCCCCCATGGACTACCTCCTAGGCTCTGTTGATAGCAAGCCATGACAGATGCCAAGACTAAATGTGAGCATGCCTACTACTGAAAGGTCCTCATGTCCCCACCCAGTCCATTGCAGGGCCAGAAAGGGCCAGAAATGCCTTTGTGTACAATGAGGGGACACCAGGAATGCTTCTCTCTACACCATGAAGATGCTTTTGGGAGAACCCAGAGGAGAGAAAAATGGCCTCTATCCAGGGTAGACTTAGGGACACACACACACACACACACACACACCTGCTTTGGCACAGAAACCTCCCCAGCTTACATGGGGCATCAGCAGCAACCTCCCCTCCTGGCACCAACTTATCCCTGAAGGGTGAGGTCACTGCTTGGGAAACAGCACAGGAATATCAATCAGTCTGTGCATCAGGGCCTCCCCCCTGCCTGCCCCACAACTGCAGAAGGGATGAGAGGAGACGGGGTAGTGGGGACTTGATGGGCCATGTATTCCTCCAGGCCCACCATACCTAACACCAAGATGCTTCCTGATACCTATGCCCCTTCCCCCAACTCTCACGTTGTGGCCCAAGCCCTCCCAACTGGCTTTTCCAGTTCTTGGCTTTGTGTGGCGCAAGTTCCCCAATTATGCCCACATTATCTCAGCTGCTGGGCAGCCTCCAGCAGGCTTGGGGAGTGGAGGCTGGAGGAGCATCAGGGAGCACCCATTTATCCTGTCAGGGAGGATGGAAGAATTAATTGCTTGCCAGCTGACCAGTCAGCAAGAGTGCTAGACCATCTGACCCACTGACCTCCTCTCGGGCTGCTTCTGGGTAGGGTGTGGGCGGGGCTGCCATGAGACAGTTAGAGCCAGAAGGATAAGGGAGACCCAGGCAGCCAGCCTGCTCCTCTACAGAGGCAAGGGAATTGACTGCTAGGGTCTCACAGTAGGCGGAAATTCAGCCCCCAACTATGTGCCATACACCCTCCTCACCTTGTCTCACAGCTCCCCCAGCCCCCAGCTGCTTGAGGGGTCTGGGACTTCCAAGGGCCGGTGGGGGCAGGGGGGCAGGAACACCCAATATGTTCGTTAAGACTCTAGTGTGAATGGCAGAAAGAACGGGGATATGTATGAAATTCTCCATGCCAAGGACATGGCTTGGGAAAGCCAAAAACATGTCTTCGGCATCTCTCTCTCTCTTTCTCTCTCTTACACACAGACACACACACACATACCTCTCTTTTCCTACGCATGCCTCCCAAGGTCTCACTATGTAGTCCACACTGGCCTTGAACTTAATATCTCCTGACTCTAACTCCTGAAGGCTAATATTATAAGCACATCCCACCGTGCCTGGCTCGACATGCATTTCCTGAGAACATGTTGTATACTAAGCCCCTAAGATCCCACGGTCAATGTGATCTCTGGAAGAGTGGAATGGGAAGCAATGTGCTGAACTGACCATGGGCTTTGGGACCTTCCCAAGAACCCCCACTTCTCTATCACACAGAGGAGGCAAGGAGAAGCCCCAGCTTCCCACTCTTGGATCCCAGGCCTCTCAAAGCCTTCCTCCTGCCTCTGCTATACTGATGGTACTCAGTAAAATGAGGATGTTGGGTATAAAGAACACAAAGGTAGTCACTCGTCAATCACAGGAAGGACAGACTCAGAGATGGACAGAAGTGGAGGGCAGAGCCTGGTCTGGGGTGGTTGTCTCAGGCTAAGGGTCTCAAAAGCAAGGATTCTAGTGGAGACTGGAGGGAACGTATGCCTTGCCACCCGCTGCCCACTCCTTCCTGGGAGTCTCCATTCTCCTGGCTACCACTGCAGTTTGCCCAGCAATAAATATTTGCTACACTAGAGAAAAGAAAACACGGAAGCCTGCTGTGTAAGCCAGATGCTGAGCTGGGCTGGGCTTTGGAGACCCAGGAAGGGAAAGAACTCCCTGCAAGAGTTCCTAGGCCAAGAGAGAAGTCAGGTATACACAGCCGTATTCTGAGGCAGGGAGGCTGTACTGGGAGGAACCTGGAAGATCAGACTGGGAGCTTCCTAACAAAAGGGCCTGAGTGGTTCCTCACAGGAGCTGAAGGGGAGGGGCCCTCTTGCTGCTGTGCATCTGTGCACCTTCTCCAGTTCCTGCCCCCGCCTCCTTGCCGTTTCTTACCTGTATGCTGTTTGGTTCCCCAGCAACGGGTGAGGTAGAGAAGAATGGATTATCTGGCTCATTTGTCAGATGAGGGAACCGAGGCCCAGGAAAGCTCCTAGCTAGAGCTCTGCTTGGATAGTAGAGCTTTCAACCCTCAAACAAACAAACAGCATGCTAAGTTCGTAAGGTGCCACCGCTTATATCCTAAAATTCTGGAGGCTGAGGCAGGAAGATGGTTAGTTTAAGATCAGACTTGACTATATAGTCAAAACTGCCTTCAGAGGCATCTTGGGAGGGCAAGGGGAGGCAGAGCTTGAATGTAGCTCAGAAGTGGAAGACTTGCCAAGTGTGTTGTCTCCATCCACAGAACGAAGGGAAGAAGCTAGCATGTGGACGTATGTACTAACATGGAACACTGACCCACATCACTAAGTGAAAAGCACCATTTGGACAATCTGTACAGTATGATTCTGATTTTTTAAAAAAATATATAGGAAGCTAGGGAGATGGCTCACTGGATAAAGTGCTTGCTAAAAGCATTAGGACCAGAGCACCTACACAAATGCCAGATGGGCGTAGTGGCCTGCCTAGGAGGCAAAGATGGGATCCCTGGGGCAAGCTGGCTAGCCAAATTAACACCATCTGGGTCCAACTGAGAGATCTTACCTAAAAATAAAAGGCAAAGAAGCTCATGCCTTTTAATTCCAGCACAGAGGAGACAGATGCAAGCAGATCTCTGCAAATTCGAAGCCAGCCTGGTTATTACAGTGAATTCCAGGCCAGCCAGATAGTCCAAAGAAAGAAAAATATGGTAGAATCAATTAAGGAGGATACTTAGCATCAACCTCAGACCCTCGTGTGCACGTGCAACACACATGCAAAAAATAACAACAAAAGAAAAAAACCCCACAGATAGTAAGCCAGGCATTGTAGTGGCATTAATGGAGAATCACAGCACTCAGAAAACTGAGACGTTGGTCTGTGATGGTGCACACCTTTAATCCCAGCACTCAGGAGGCAGAGGCAGGTGGATTTCTGTGAGTTCAAGGCCAGCCTGGTCTATAGTGTGAGTTCCAGGACAGCCAGGGCTATTTTACAGAGAAACCCTGTCTCAGGGAAGGGGGTAAGGGAAGGATGCTGAGATATGAAGATCATGAATCCAGGGCCATTCTGAGCTACAAGTGAATGATGTCATTGTCTTCGTGGTATTTTTCAGAATTATCTAGAATGAGATTTTATTATTCATTTATTTATTTTATGTATGTGTGTGTATGCTGTGGTGGGCACACGGAGGTCCGAGAACAATTTAAAGGGGGTCTCTTCTACCGTGTGGGTTCTAGGGATCAAATTTAGGTCATCATCCTTGGTGGCCAATGTCTTTATCCACTGAGCCACCTTAATAGGTGGTTTTTATATCGGGTAATTAATTAATTCATTTTGGAGGGGATTCTAAATGAGTTTCATTCGTGGCTCAGGTTGTCCTGGACCTTACTATGTAACCCGGACTGGCTTCAAAGTCTCATAGCAATCTTCCTGCTTCACCTCCCGAGTGCTGGGGCTCTAGGCACAAACCACCAGACCCGGTGATTGTTTTCATAAAAGTAATGACTGCTGTAAAAGTTAAGAGCAAAGGACAGAGAATGGTAGGTGTGGGGCATGGTGCCCGTCACTGACTACTTCCTGTCTTCCCGTCCACCAGGCACTCACACGCAGGTGGTACAGGTGAACGACTCCATGTATGGCTTCATCGGCACAGACGTGGTATTGCACTGTAGCTTTGCCAACCCACTGCCCAGTGTGAAGATTACCCAGGTCACGTGGCAGAAGGCCACCAATGGCTCCAAGCAGAACATGGCCATCTACAACCCAACTATGGGCGTCTCCGTGTTGCCGCCCTATGAGAAGCGAGTGGAGTTCCTGCGACCCTCCTTCATTGATGGCACCATCCGCCTCTCCCGCCTGGAGCTGGAGGACGAGGGCATGTACATCTGTGAATTTGCTACCTTTCCTACAGGCAACCGCGAGAGCCAGCTCAATCTCACTGTGATGGGTAAGATGCCCTGGGCCTCTTTCCCTTGCCTGTCTAAAGGGGTTGACCATCCTTAGCATGTGTCCCAGTGGCCCCAGACACCCCTGTTGGGTTGGCATGTTCCCATAGCTCCAGGCATAGAGCCTCTCACTTGACTAGCCGGATTGTCCACAGTTCCCAAGATTGGGGATGAGGCCTTAGCAATGGGCAGGGGCAGTATTTAGGTTGAAGCCCCCGCTACGGGACATTGTGTTGGAGACTAGGACACAGGCAGGTGCATAGGACACTGTAGTGAGGAAGGAAGCTGCTTGGCTTGATCATGCCAAGACTCTGGGAAATCTAAAAACAGGACTGTTCGGGCAGCAAGAAGGATTTACTGGCAGGAAGCACTTCCCAAGGGAAATTCTGGGAAGGGCTTTGGCCAAGCACAGCTGAGAGGCAGGGGTGACGGGCAACTTCAACTGATGCCATGGTGTTGTGCCCACAGCCAAACCTACCAACTGGATCGAGGGCACCCATGCAGTGCTTCGAGCCAGGAAGGGACAGGATGACAAGGTCCTGGTGGCCACCTGCACCTCAGCCAACGGGAAGCCTCCCAGTGTGGTGTCCTGGGAAACGCGGCTAAAGGGCGAGGCAGAGTACCAGGAAATTCGGAACCCCAATGGCACAGTGACAGTCATCAGCCGTTACCGCTTGGTGCCCAGCCGGGAAGCCCACCGGCAGTCCCTGGCTTGCATCGTCAACTATCACCTGGACCGCTTCAGGGAGAGCCTCACGCTCAACGTGCAGTGTGAGCCGGGGCCGGCCCCTTCCACCCTCTGCTGTCTGCCCTCCTCTTCTGTCCCCTAGTCTCTCCCCTCGATTTTCTCCTCCAAGATGCTGCAATTTCCTCATCCTCTCTTTCTGTCACTGCCCCCTCCTTCTAACCTTTCCCCTTGCTGCTTTTGCTCTGAGGTCTTGGAATGCCAACTTGCCTTTCCTTCCAGCTGCTCCTGGCTCCTCACTGTCTCCCTTCCTTAACTGTTCCCTCTATCCCTTCCCTGCCTGCTCCCTGACCTCACCCTCTTCCAACATCCTCCCTTGCTCCACAGATGAACCTGAGGTGACCATTGAGGGCTTTGATGGCAATTGGTACCTGCAGAGGACAGACGTGAAGCTTACATGCAAAGCAGATGCTAACCCTCCAGCCACCGAGTACCACTGGACCACGTGAGTGCTGTGGGCTGACCCATCCCCTGAAAATACCCTTTGCTGGACCTCACACCTCCAGGGAGTAGGGAGGATTAGAGCCTAGGCTCAGATTTTCCCATGGGGGTTGATTTAAGAGATCCCACGTACGCACACAGACTGTGTACACACCTCTGCATATGAGTGCTAGGGTTTGGGACTAATAATAATCATGCCAGCGGGGGTGTTCCTCCTGACCTGCTTCCCTTCACTCACTAATAAAGGATTTTGTCACTTTTCTTTGGTGAATCACCCCACCCCAGTGCCCATTATTTATTTTTTTCCAAGGTATCCCCTGGGAAGCTGGTGTTCTGGAACACCCCAGTCTTCCTTTGTTCCTAGTCTTTCTGTACAACAGCCCCAGGTTCTCTGGGTGGAGGCAGCAGTGGACGCCCGTGTCCCACTCTCCCATTCTTGACTTTACAGTCTGGTTCTTGACCTTCAGAGGGGAATCAATCCCCCGCTAGCCAACTTGAACATCTCAAACCACCATTCTTGCCAGAGACTAGGTGGGACTCAGGGTGTGGGGGGAGCTAAGAAAGTTGACATGGATGGCCAGAAGTCAGCAGCTAAAAGTGAGTCTAAACCATTTCTAGGAAGTAGTGGACCCTGGCAGACCCTCCCTATCAGCCTGCACTTGTAGGCACAAAACTGCTTCTGAAGGAGAGGGTGGGCAGAACCTGCTTGCCGGTCAGCCGTGTACCCAGAGCTTTACTGAAGAACAGCTAACAAGGGAAGGATGAAGGTTTTCTGTACTTGGCAAACTCCTAGAATGCTCCCCACACAAAAACGTCTTGAGACATTTCCAGCAATGGCAAGATGATCAGTAGGAGTTCAGCCATGCCTGCTTCCGCATCCCAATAGCTTCTCCCAATGCTCTTGGCCTCAGTGGCCCCACCAAAGGAGAACTAGGATCAGGACCCAGGTGTCCCTGTTGTCAACCCAGAAGCCGCAGGAGCGGTAGAACAAGCACTCCTCTGAAGCCTGCAGATCCAGCTGGCCTCTGCTCTGCTTCTTCCTAGCTGTGTGCCCTTGGCCTTGAATCTCAGGTTTCATCTGTTAATGGGGAAATGGTACCCACCTGCCTTGAATAGGTTTCAGTGGCATGATGCTCAGACATGAACTGCCAAGCATGGTGGCCCAAACCCTGTCATCCCAGCACCAGGGAGGCTCAGTCAGGAGTGCTGCAAGTTCAGAACCTACCTGGGCTACGTAACAAAACCCTGTCTCCAAACCTATGAATTCCTGAATAATAGAAAACTGAGATGCAAGACACTATTGTTGTTCCTATTTTCCCTCCATTCCAAACAGCCCCTAATACATGCACTCAGCAGAAGAGCGGTAGATGCCCGGGGGCTGATTCTTGGAGCTGAAGAGTCGTTCATAACCCTTCCCTGTGTCTCCCAATACCTACAGGCTGAATGGCTCTCTCCCCAAGGGTGTGGAGGCCCAGAACAGAACCCTCTTCTTCCGAGGACCCATCAACTACAGCCTGGCAGGAACCTACATCTGTGAGGCCACCAACCCCATTGGCACCCGCTCAGGGCAGGTGGAGGTCAATATCACAGGTATGAGTCTGCCTCCCCTCCCTCTCCCCATCCTCTGGTTCCTCCATAGCCGCAGCCGCCCCTTTCATTGCACCCGTTAGGAAGTTTGTGTCTTTGTAACCCCCCACCCCTTGCTTCTCTGCAGCTCAGGCCATGGTTCTTTCTTCACACTTTCCTCTTTGCCTTATGGGGAGGGGGTGTTATAGGGTGCGGTCAGAGTGACCTTCAGGGGGCCGGAAGTGCTGTTTCCAGCAATGGCTGAACTCTTGTACGAGGGAGTCCTGCTAGCTTGGTGGAACAGGTCTGCAGGTGGGCTCACATCCTCCAAGCTCTGCAGCTGGAGTTGAGGAAGCCTGCAGGGCTGCAGGGCGAGGCTCGCCTCCAGACAGACGGGAAAGTAGAGGCTAGAGTGAGCAAGCACCCTGAAGGCATTGGATACTGAATTGCTCTTTTCCCAGATCTTCCTCTGTCATTACAGGAGGGGTGAATCAGTCAGGGGAAATGAGGGCTGTGTTGCTCCACAGAGAGGCTTCACCTGGGATGTGACCTGAGTGAGCCTCGTCTGTAAAATGGGGGTAGTGTGACCTGCCTTGAAGGAAGGGCTGCTGTCCAATGACACATAATGCAGGTCACATAACCTAGCACAACCCAGTCTGTCAGTAAGTGGCCAAGGCTCTGTTATTATTGTCGCGACCTCCATCATTATCACTGTCATTAATAGGAGCATCAAAACAAATGCACCAAGGAGTAAATTGCCACCAAATTGCCACCAAACTTCAAAAGGGGGAGGTGTTTTCAGTATCAGACCTGAGCTGCTTGCAGAGTGAGAAAGTGACACAAAGAACCTTCAAAAAACAGGAAGGGGCATGGCACTGCCACCAAAGGAGACAGGATGTAACATACACAGCGTGATCCTGGGCTTCCAGGAAATGAGGCAGTAACGTAGTCTAGCTAGACACAGGTTTGGGGGAGCCCTGAGGATATCATCTGTGAGTACATTCCAAACACATCTGCACAGAGAGCAGCTGGAGCTATCCAGGGACCACACTGGGCTGTCCTTGGGGCTGTCCTGTCACCTAGGAACGAGAGGCTGTGGTCACTTGCTATTTTCTTCAGCACCCTGCCGCTGACTCTGAGAATGTTTATAGGAGTAGAGGTGCCGGGGTTGGAGCCTGCTAATAGCCAAGGTCACCTGCCAGGACAGGGACAGACAGCAGAAGTGGACTGCACCACTCTTCCCCCTTCTGGGACAAGTTGGAGACATATAGGGTCCGGAGCTCTGGCCCTGAGGCTGTGGGGTTGGACGAGGAAATGCACAGAGCCATCATACCAAGTGTGATGAGCAGTGTTACCCGAGGGCCAGGGATGTGTCCATTTAAGGACTCTTCTTGGCTGTGTGACTTTGAATAAGTTCTTTACCTCTCTGAACCTCTGTTTCCCGATTTGTAATATGAAGGTAGTCCAACTTACATCCCATTGTCCATGTGATCATGGAGCGCTCCCTCCAACAGGACACCAAAGCCACTACAGCATCCCACTCTGCCACCCAGGAACTCTGGGGAGGGGGAAGCTGATTGGAAATTTGGTGGAAGTAAGGAACCCAGAAGCACCCTCTCATTGATGTTACTTCTCAGCATGAGAAAACTGACCAGAAACCCTGCTAGGGCAAGTATGCCAGCCTCAGAATCACAACCAGCAGGAGTGTGCATCCTCCCTTCTCCAAAAGTCCAGGAACAGAGGTGATGGTCTTGAGGAAGGGCTACTCCTTAGGGCTCAGATGTAGGAGCAGAGAGGAGGAGAAGGAAGAAGAGACTAGCCATGGGGAGGAAGCGGCCATGGGTACCCGGTACCTGCTGTGTGTCCCGTGATCAGGTCTATCTAGGCGGTGGTGTGTGCTTGCCTGCACATAACATCTAGAGTGTATTCGAGGATAGGTGGTCTAAAGCAACCAGAGCTCCGGCTGGAAAAGGGTCATACCATGCCAGTTCTGTTATTAGTCGGGAGCCAAGAGACAAGAAAACATGGCACTCCTGGCTCTCCTGATGGGCTCAGGAGCTGTGTGGGTCAGCCCCACCGGGAGCAGCTTCCAGCCAGAAGTTTAAACCTTTCCAGTGCTGTTGATTCTTTAAGTGGCAGGTTACCTCATCCCCATTTTCCCCACATCAGCAAGTGGCCTCTGCAGTCTCTGGGGACCACCCTCAAGGAGCATAGCCGGGCCCCGTGTTCCCAGCCCCACTGCTCTGAAGGCAATGCATGAATGAGAGGGATAAGTGGGAATTTAATATTTCATTCTGACTGTCCTTTTAGGTAATAGCTTTGCCTGCGCACATCTGGAGAGAGGAACAAAGAGCAGCTGGGGTGGGGTAGGCAGGGGGCACACGTGGAAGGAGGGATGGAAGGAGGATGGCCCATGATGAAGCAGCATAGCAGGGCTATGTTCAGATTGCTGCATGGTGGCACTAGGACTAGTCAGTCACTGTCACAGTGAATGACCCCTAGTGTGAAATAGTCCCAAGCTGGTTATAGGGATAAGAAAGCTATAGAAGCAACCTAGCAGAATTTGTGGATGCATTTAACAGTGTCTGGCCACTCAAAGAAGCCCATGTCCAAGGCCTTGTACTGAGAAGCAGTTTCAAAGTGCTGGGTAAGGGATCCCACCACAGTAGCTAGAGGACCTACCTTCTTCCACGAGGGCTAACACTAATGGTGGGGAGGGGTCCAGGATATGGCCTTGACCAAATAGGATATAGCTTTCCTCCTTAAGGATGTTAGTGTCAGATTGGCCTATTGCCACTCCCAAGAGCGGGGCAGGGAAGCTACTCAAGCTTAGTGTGTCTGTCCCAACTCTTACTCTCGGTGAAGTTTGGGCTCGTCCCGTGGGCATGCCAGTTAGGCCAGTTCTTTGGACCAAGGATGGTGGGCCTTCACAGGGAGTGTCTCTGCAAGTGTGCGTGCCCAGGCATGAGTGTGGGTGTGTTCCTCTGTAAGCACGTGTAAGCCAGTGTGAGCAGGCAAACCACTGTCTGCCTGCTGAGTGTGCAAATGGAAGCCTGGGGCTGTGCTGAGGGCAAATATGCCTGTCTCCAAGCCAGCAAATGGCACGTGTTTGGGAGTTGAGGATGCAGCTGAGTCCATACCTCTGGGAGTTCCTCTTCCAACTTTCAGGAGCCCTGGCAGACAATGGAGGAACTACACAGCTGCTTCAGCTGCAGGAAGACAACAGGGTTTCTCAGGGTAGGACCCCAGGCCTTCCCATTCTCCCTGTGGCTGATCTCATTGCATGCTGGGAAGTGTAGTTCTCACAACTTCCTAGCCTGATCTGTAGGTCATTTCCTGCCAGCTAAAACATTCAACATTGGTTGTGGAAGCAAGCCTAGACATTTTCTTTGAACCTAGAGCTTAGTTCCAGACTATAAACCCTAACTCCAGTTCACCTCACATCAACCCAAAGCCCCCCCCACCCCACCCCACCCACACGCACTAGGTCACCCATCTTAGTCTGGGAACTACTGACCCGGAACGAGAAGTCCCCCTGCTCTGAGGTCCTGTCCGTCTCAGAGCCTGCAATCCTTCAGAAGCAGGGCCAGGTGGGCCACTTTGTAAGAGGATGTGAGAGGGGCCAGCTGGGCCCCCAGCAACAAGAGCAAATGACCCCAGTGCCCGGTTCTTCCCTCTACCCAGCTGTGACCTTTATGGTTCTGCTTCTGACATAGAGACAGATATTGCTGGGTGTGACAAATGGAGGGGTGGAGGAGAGGGGCAGGATGTCTTTTTTCCCCTGCTGGCACATGAATTAGCCATCCCTTTCTCTCACCTCACTCATTTGATGTGTTTATTTTGGCCGCATAGCCATTCCTCTGCTCTACACAGACACTAAAGTAGTCAGAATAGTGTGGATTCCCTTCGGTCACAAAAGGGCCCACAGGAACAGTAAACCTCCTTAAAGCTTACGAAAAATAAAGTAGAGGACCTGGACGGAGGAGCTCAGAGGTAGAGAACCAAGTATAACCAATCCCTAAGACACTGCTCTCCTCCTACCCCGACTCCTATGAAATGAGGTCCCCAGTGTGTCCCAGGCCCATGTTCTCTGTGGACTGAACGCTTTCCGCCGCCTGCAGTGAGCCTCACTTTTAAGGCAGAGCCATGGCATGAGAGAATATGTTCTTTAACCTAACAGAGATTTCATTGTCATGTGTTCTAGGCATTTGGGATAAATCAGTGAGCAAAACAGACCAGACTCCATCTTTGTGAAGTTTATGGGGTCCTGAGGGTGATGTAGGGAAAAGAAAGGTCACTGTGCAGAAGATGAGGGACTTGTACGTTGCATTTTTAAAGATGGTGGGTGGGGAAAGTTTTCATGAGTAGGTGATGCTCAAGCCAAGCCCTGAAGCAGGTGATGGCAAGAAGCTCCAGTCCATGGCAAAGAGCCCTCAGCCTGCAGGAAAGCAGAACAAGATGGTATCAGAGGTAGAACAGGGCACAGGTCATGGAGAACACTCTAGACTCTGTGACTTTGGGCATTCTTTGAGGGGAAAACAGTCATTAGGGGCTCTGGGCAGGGTAGTGGTGGGATGTGACTTGTACATTGATGGGATCTCGCTGGCTGCTGTATCAGATATAGTCCTTCTAAGCCAAGGGTGGAAGCAGTTAGGTGTCGATAGCCATAAATCGTCCAGGTGAGAGATGGCGGTGTCTTGGATGAGGGTGGTTGGGATGGAATGGCGAGAACTGGCTAGATTCTAGATTTACTTCAAAATATAATTTACAGAGTAGTTTGGGGCACCGACCATTCTCATCAGACAGATGATACAGCAAACCCTGTCATTCTGTGATTAGTGGGGTCAGGAAATCCAATCTAGCTGAGTTAAATGTAAGAGCACGATATTTTTCATTGGTTCTTTGCTGGGAAAGCAGGAAAGTAACCACGGTAGAACTTCTGTTATGCACAGCGGTCATGCTGCAGTGAGTCAGCCCCACAGGATGAGCGGCTCCTTCCCTCGGCCCTTCTCTTATCCCAACTGAAAGGGGAATCAGAACCAACTGTGGCTAATCCTAATTTGCATTTATTAGTGATGAATTTTTAATTAATAAGTTAGAATCTGAAATGGTTTAAAATAGAGTAAAGGGTGCAGGCAGAGTGGGTGGTATGAGCCGAAGCTTGTTTGTGAATAAGAGCTCACTTGAAGCTGGGTCTGTAATCCCAGCTACTTAGGGAGCTGAAGCCAGAGGATCACAGGTTCAAGGCCAGCCTGGGAAACTTAGTGAGATTCTATCTCAAAATGTGAAGTAAAAGAGAACTAAGAATATAGCCTGGTGGCAGAGTATTTGCCTGGCTTTGTGCTGGGCTCTATGTTAAATCCTTAGTCTCCCACACACACAACCCACTTAGATAGCAAGCATAACGGGTTAATCATCTTTTCGTTACTGTCACAAAATACCTGAGATAATGAATTTAAAAGGAGGAAAAGTTTGTACTCCTTTGATTCCAGCACTCCGGGAGGCAGAGGCAGGCAGATCTCTGTGAGTTCTAAGCCAGGACCACATAGTGAGACGCTTGTTTTAGTGGGGGTGGGTGTGTGTGTGTGGTGGCAGTGAATTAATTCTAGCATACAGTTTCAAAAGTTGTAGCCCATGGTTGTTTGGCCTAGGCTTTAGGGCCTATGATGAGACAGAGCATGGAAAGACTGTGAGGTGGAGTAACTCATTCATTCTGTGGAAGCCAGCAGGCAAGGGTCCCCATATCCCTTTCAAGGGCACCCCCCACAATGATCGGAATTCGTCCCAGTAGGCTCTAAAGATACCACCACTTCCCAGCAGTGTCATGAACTAGCAACCAAGCCTTTAGTATCCAGGCCTTTGCTGAGGACAATCATGAAAGTGTGTGATAGAGGCCAGCTTCTAAGGCCCAGCAAGCAATGCGCAGTTGCTGCCGGTCACTGGCATAGAGAGTGCCCGTGACTACACAGTGGAAATGAATCTGCTCACTCTGAGTGGGACAGCTAAAAGGGTAGAGACCCAGTGAAGGTGAAAGGCCCGAGAATCTTCTACAAACAGCCAAAGCCAGAGAGGAACACTGGCATAATAGAGGGAAGAGTCAGAGTGGACCGATGCTGGTGGCACTGGGAGCCCAGTGGAGGACCGGTGGATGGAGAGGATGAGAAAGGAGGACAGACAGCCTGGATGGAGCAGTGGGATTTGAGTTGGTGATTCCAGAAGTTTCTCAACTCTATAACCCTAAACGTTAGTTCCCTGTCCTATGGGCAGGAAGATAGGGTCAAGCTCCAGGAAGCTGGGAATTACTCCATCCTGCATCTCTCTCAAAGTCCAGCAGGGTGTGGGAGAAGGCGAAGGGCTCCCGTGTGTCATCTAAGCCAATGGTTCTCAGAGTGTTTATCCTACTGGTTTTTGCTGAGCTCTGAGTCAATGGCTCAGGGTCTCATGAGGTACAGTTTGGGAATTGTATCCCAGAAACCTTCAGAGATACAGTTCTGCAGCTGAGTGAGAGCTGTGTACTTGAAGTGGCTTGGCACACCAGGAGGATCACAGTTAAGTCATGAAACGGAGATGAGCTCTGTTGTGAGCAAAGAGAGCGGGGGACAGAGGTCCAAAGACAAAGCCTCCACTAGGAGAGCTGGAGAAAGCCCAAGAGGGAAAGCCAAGGACCCAGGGAGTCTCGACGCAGCAAGCTAGGGGCACAGTTCAGAAGTTCTTTATGGACACCTCGCTTACTATCTTGGCTTCTCTGAGACCAAACCATCCTTCCAGACAGGGCAAAGTCCAGCCTCCAAGAAGCCTTTTCTGAGTGCGTGCCACGGCATTCTCTTTCTCCTACACTCCTGAGCCCTTTACGGCCAGCTCCCTATTGCCTGCTTGCTGCTGAGACTCCAAGCATATCATTTGGTTCCATAGCAATGTCATAACTAGAGAGAAAGATATTTGGGGTATATTTGCTAGCTGAATAAGGAAGGAGACAGGTAAGGGTGGGCCAGGAGTGGTGGTAGCCTGTGGCCTCAACATTCAGGAAGCCGAGACAGGAAGATCTCAAGTTCAAAGCCAGCCTGCCCTAGTGAAGCCTTGTTCCAAACCAACCAAGCAAAGAAAGACATAGAGGTGGATGCAGAGAATCCAATCTGAGAACTGAAGGAGGATGCAGGCTGACAGTACAGATGTGTAAGGTGCTTCCTTTCTAAGGGCAGTGAGAAGATGGGACCCAGGAAACCAAGAGGAACTTGAGACTGCTCCCAGAGACTGTTGCAGGGATAGGCAGTCGAGACAGATATCAGTAAACATTTACAGACCATCTCCTCTGTGACCTACACTGAGGACACACTAGAGACAAACGGGGAACCCAGTCCCCCAGGCTTGTGCTTCTCTCCACCAGCTCCAGGCTCAGGAGCATCTGGGTGGCCACAACTCAGCCATGTGATCTCAGGCAAATGTTTCCCCCCCTTTGGGGCCCCCGTGAGCCACGGGAAAGCCTTTCCCCCATTCCGAACCTCCGCCCTGCTCCTGCCTGCTAGCCAACAGCACCCCACACACTCACATGGGACCCATGGGAGGAGTAGGATTCCGATGAAGTGAGTGATGCTGAATTAGGGAGTGAGCCAGCTGCAGCGGGCTCCCAGGAACAGACACATGGGCCCAAACAGGCATGCTACCTTGGCCTTGGCCCTCCTGGGCCAGGCTGGAGAGAGGACTGGACAGTGGCTTGCGCTGAGTCTACACCCCAGCTCCTTACCAAGGCCAGTCATGGTCTCCAGTGCCACCCTGTGGTAGTGCTGGGAACCGTCTCCCTGTGTCTTGCCCTGGGACCTCTTGGCCTCTGGCCTGGTGTGGCCTGACTTAGCCTTCTCCCATCCATTCCAGGCCTGGAAGACAAAGGAGAAAAAGAGATCATAGGGTTGTCAGAAAAAGTCACCCACCTCACTGTCTCTTCCTTCCAAACTCTTTTAGTCTTTTCCCCGCCTTTATTATCTTTTTATTTCTACTCTGCCACATTATTGACCTTTCTTTTCCTTTTCTTTCTTTTTCTATTTTTTTCCTTTTTCTTTCTTTTTTATTTTTGGAGATAGTTTTATTCTATAGCCCAAACTGGCCTTGAACTTTTAGCAGTCCCCCTGCCTTAGTTTCTCAGATCCTGAAATTACAGGTATGAGTGATTATGCCTGGATCAGTCTATCCTCATTATCTGCATATCTTTATGCACACATGTGTTGTGCTTGGCATGGCCTGTGAGCCATTAAACATGCTCGTACATGTGTATGTTCCTGGTCTGTAATACACATGTGGGCCTCCACAGCCGCGTTCTGCCTGTCCTTACTTTGTGCTAGCCATCTGTCCCTTTGGTGTCTCAACCCCATAGCCCAATCTGGCAATCCCAACAGATCTCCACCGTGCTCTGCATGGCAGGACCACTCCCAAGAGTCACAACCCTGGTCTGTAGCACACTGGCAGATGACTGGCACTTATAGGGTATCTATTGAGCCAAAAGTTAGAAACCCATTTTCTGTATGTCCAGAAGGCAAAAGAAACCGGTCCTGGAATACCTACTAGACTCCTGGTGTTGGGACAATGATGTCTACCTGTCAGGCAAAGGGACACTGGTGACAGGTGCACAGGGTTTATTTTTAAAAACAACCAAAAAAGCAGCAATACTATATCTCATTGGCTAAGTGGCCTCAGGTAAGTTAACCTCCCTAACTGTCTCCTGCACTGAATAGAAACGAATAGCAGACCACCCTTGGAGGGCGGTGGTGGTGAGGGACACAGTTGGGTACCTGCAGATGTACCCCTGCACCATGGAGGGATGGAACAGGACTGGCACTACCTCCAGGGATGGTCAGGATAGAAGGCTGGGTTCTCTGGGTGCTTTAGCTGCCTCTCTCCTCTCGCCTGCCTTATTCTAGCGCCCAGTGCTGCAGCTGATGTGACCTCAAGGAGGTGGGGTGCTAGGAACCTCTGGAACCAGGACTGCTCAAACACGGGGTGTGGACATCCTGTCCTGGGCCTTTCCCTCCCCTGCTTCCTTACACCCCCTACTGACTTCCGAAGAGCAGACACTGACTCTGTCCCCTCCATCTCTTTTCCTCACCCAGAGTTCCCCTACACCCCATCTCCTGAACATGGGCGGCGTTCGGGGCAGGTGCCCACAGCCATCATCGGGGGCGTGGCTGGGAGTGTCCTGCTGGTGCTGATTGTGGTTGGAGGGATCATAGTGGCCCTGCGCCGGCGCCGGCACACCTTCAAGGGCGACTACAGTACCAAGAAGCATGTATATGGCAATGGCTACAGCAAGGCAGGGATCCCCCAGCATCACCCGCCCATGGCACAGAACCTGCAGTACCCTGATGACTCAGATGACGAAAAGAAGGCCGGCCCACTGGGCGGGAGCAGCTATGAGGAGGAAGAAGAGGAGGAGGGCGGTGGAGGGGGCGAACGCAAGGTGGGCGGACCCCACCCCAAATATGACGAGGACGCCAAACGGCCCTACTTCACTGTGGATGAAGCGGAGGCCCGTCAGGACGGCTATGGGGACCGGACTCTGGGCTACCAGTATGACCCTGAACAACTGGACTTGGCTGAGAACATGGTTTCTCAGAACGATGGGTCTTTCATTTCCAAGAAGGAGTGGTATGTGTAGCCCTACCTTCCGGAGCCTCTGTCTGTGCCCACTTCTCCCTGGCTCCTACCCGCACGCCCCCTGCCCACCCTCACAGTCCACTGCCCCAGGAGCTCAACAAAGACTTGACCAGCTGCCCTAAACCAGCCCCAAACTCCTGGGGAGCCAGGGGAGCTCAGGGCAGACCCCACTTGGCTTCGTTTTTTTATTTCTGCCCTCTCCCACCCTTCCCCGCGGTGTTGTGTTCGACTGTGACTTTGGTGTTGCTGTATCTTTCCTTTAAGGACCCCATCCACTGCCCTCTGTGTTGGGAGCCCTGTTCTTGTCTTGTGTACTTGGGCGTCCCTCCAGGGTTTGGGGAGCCAGTCCTCTCCCACCCCCCAACACTGGAATTTGTTTGTGTTCTCTTCATTGGGGAGGGAGGGCAGAGGGGGCTTTAAGATGAAGAGCACCCTCACCTCACCCCGTATGCTGCTCCTTTGCCCAATGTCCCCCCACTCTAAACTGGTGATGCAGCCAGGGCACCTAAAAGGTTATAGGGGAGTTCTCTGTGGTATCCAGGGGAGTCTTGTCTGTGAAATGATGGAGCTGGGGTTCCTACTGGGGTCCTGGGCACTGTGTTTTCCTGGTAAGAGTGGCTTTATGCTTTCTCTGTTCTGCTGGCCTACAAAATGAGGTTGGCCTAGCTGTCATATACTGCTTTCCTTTACTCCCAGGCTGTTCTCTACAGAGTGGGTGACCCCAGCTGGACTCTACCCACAGTCCCTGTATGCCTCCTCCAACACATGCACACACACCACTGGGTCTCCCCCAGTGCTCTCACGCCCTGCCCAGGCTAAACACTGCCCCAGGCCCCACCCTCCTCTGCTCAGGGAGGGATCAGCCCACAGAAGCATCCAGAGACAGAGAGGATGAACCACCCAGCTGCTGCCGCTCTAAGATTTCAGTGTAGCTCCAACCTTTCCAACGGTGTGCACGTTTCTCGGATTTCTCTTTATCTGCAACACTTGACTCTTCTGGGAAGTCGGGGCTGGGATCTCAGGAAGAAATTTGAGGCAAAGAAGTATTTATATGGCGAGGGCGTCCTCATGGAAGCTCCGCAAACACAATCTGGTGGTAGACTGCGGGGGACTGCTAACGTCTCATACAGGAAGGCCAGCATAGATGTCACAGGTCTCAAAGAAAGTGCAGGAGCACCCAGGAACCTGCTGCTTGTCCACAGTTTCTACCAGTGCCATTCTGAGGTGAGGTGGACGACGAAGGGCCCTCCCTTGAGTGCATGGAGAAAGGCCCTCCCAGCTCACTGTCCCCAAGTTCAAAGTGCCTCACTTTCTCCATCTGTGCCCCAAATTCCCCACATTCTAAATGGCATGCCTATGCCCTGGGGTAGGCAAAGTGGGCTGCGAGAGCCCTAGGTCCTGCCTGCTGGGGTCTCAACTCACTCGGCCCAAGGTGACACTCTGAGGGATAGCAGGTGTTGGGGAGAGGGAGGCAGAGCACTCTGTGCCCCAAGGGCACTGACCCACCCTGCCATAGGCTTCCTAAGGGAGCCCCAGCCCTCGCCCCACCCCCCCTCCCTGGTGCTGCTATTGAATTCCCAGTCGAAGCGCCATCTCTGGCACCCCTCAGCCCACCAGCTGGGGCCATTTCACCAGGCCTTCACTGCCCTAGTCCCAGCCCAGGCCGCCCAGTAGCCACGTAGCAGAAGTCTGAAGCCATGCCAGCCCTGTGGCGGCTCTCCCCTCTTGGCATTGGGGGCACTGGATAGGGTGGAGTTCAGGAAAGAAACTTCTAGGGCCTTTCTAGCCACAGGGCAGAGGAAGATGGAGGGGCTGGGCTGCTTCTTCCAGCAGTATTAGTGACCCTCCCATGTCACAGCACCTCTCTCCTCCTCATGCCAATTCTAGCCCCTCTGCTTGGTCCCCTTACTCACAAGGCAGGAGGCATTTCTGAGAAGACTCACCCTCCTGCACCTCTCAAACCTTCCACTGTCACCCCTTATTCCTTATTTCATGATGGACTGAGGAGGCCCTGGGCCCGGACAAAGCACCTAAGCTCCCCTTAAGACACCTGCACGCCTTTCCCCCAAGCAAAGCACAATTTACGGGGTCTCTGCAGCAGGATCCAGGATCCCAGCTGTGATGCTGCTCCCAGGCATTTGCTACCTGGGTTAAGAGAGGAAATGAGGCCGGCATCAGTCTCTGGGCCTAAGGAGCAGGGGCTTTCTTGGCGCTGTGTTTGTTGCGGGACAGTGGCGACATCCAGCTGACCGTGGAAGGCCCAGTGCAGCAGAGCAGAGGGCGTTCTGCTTCACCTTCATGGCCCCAACCCAAGCTGAGCATCTGCCTTGCTGCACAGAGAATAAACTTGGTGTGTTAACTGTGCCAAGGCCTCTCCAGTTGTCATCTCTCATTGCCCTCCCTCTGCTGCCCCTGGACTCCTGTTTCCCTGCAGATTTTGATATTCTGAGTCTCATTTACAGGAAGGCCCTGAAAAGAACCGCAGCACACATCAGTGAACACATGCCCAGCACACTGGCGCTCACCTTTCACAGACCAAGCACAGGCGCGTGTGTGCACAAGTACCCACATGAGGAACGAGAAGCCCTTAGGAATGCTCAGGCCCGAGACAGTGGACGGGGACCCAGCCCTGGGAAGGTGCCCTCTGTGCCCCAGTCACTGGTGCAATAACTTCTGCTGCCCTTGAGGTGGGAGAATCAGGACTCATGTCAGGTGGGTGGGGCCGCCCTGAGCCCAGCAGACACCGCATTCCCTTTACTGGGAGGAGGGGGGTGCTCCCAGGCCTCTGGGGGTCCAGGTAGAGACTTCCCCAAGCCTGACTGCCAACTGAAAAACCCTCTCCTAGTGAGGGCAGGTGGCTCAAGCTGGCCTGGGCCAGAGGCACCCAGAGGTGAGGAATTCAGTCTCGCCGATGCTGCTTTTTGACCCTGGCTGTGAGGAACGGGCTTGGGGTGGGGGGGTGAGTTTTGTTTTTGTGTTAACCAATGGAAACAAAATCCAGGAGAAGCTGCCACCCTTACCGCCAAGTGTGGCCAGCTTCCTTTGCTTCAATTTCTTTGTCACCATTTTCCTCTTTGGTCCTGGGGGACAGCCCAGCAGATTCTCCTGGTTCTGACCTGGGGAGGGGGGTGTCCCACCCCCTTTTACTTGTATTAAAAAAAAAAAGATGGGTTGAAAATGTACTGAGAAAAAAAATGTACTTTTTTATAAATAAAGTGTTTAAAAACAAGTCCATTTGCATCCTGTCACTGAAAGTAGGGTTTGGGCAAAGCTAGAGAAGATAGCCGGACCGCAGAGAGGATGCAGGAACACTATAGATAAACAGAACAACTGGTCCTATGACAGGGACTCATTGAGGTGCCCCATCGGCCACCTTGCCGGCATCTCTGGTTGAGCACCGGTAGGCTGCAATGGCACCATCTTGCAGTGAGGAGATGTGAGCTGGGTATAGCAGTAGGGCACAGGGGGATGGTTGGCGTCTGCTGGGCAGGGTGGGGGTCAGGAAAGGGATGACAGAAGGACACAGCTGAGGACCGCGTGCTCTGGCTCGAGCCACTATTCCAGAGCTCTTGCCTCAGTCACCACCCCTCTCCCAGGCTGGTCTCCTCTTGCCCACTTCCTTCGAATCCTGTTCCTCCCTGCCGGGTCCCCTGTGGCTCTGAGGAGAAGAAAACACGCAGTGGAGCACCTGCTGTGTTAGACAGATCCCCGGAGATGGGGGCGGGGTGACTCTATACTTCCCTCTTCTATTCTGAGGATGTAGTGCCGCCCTGTCCCCCAACAACTCTCCCTGATCCCTACCTTAACCCTTCCCTCTCAGGGGGCTGGTTGGGGGAGCTCTTCTTGTTCCTCCATTCTCTTCTCCCCATGCCAGCAACATCTGCTTCCCATCTCCTGGGCTGGAATGCAGGACAAATCGACCCTGAGGGTGGGAGGACAGGGGGCTTCAAGGACTGCCCCCTCCTATTCACCCCTGGTGGCATCTCTTTACCGAGATCTATCCCATAGAGCCTCGGGCTCTAGAGGGGGCAGGGACCATAGAAGCCAAGACAGCTGCTTAGCAAGTCCTCAGGTCCACGTGGGAACAAGGCCACCTCCTCCACACTTAAGATTAGATCCCCTAAGAAAGGCAGAATCCAGCGTGGAAGAGGAGCCCGCAGCTGTTGGCAGCTGGCTGAGTCCCTCTCTGGAAGGCTAAACCAAGGCACCCAGGACAGACAGAGCTGTGTTTAGATGTTGATACTCGAATGAGATGCAAATTGGTTGTCTAAGCGGTTATTTCCTCGGTTTTTCAGGCTGTCTGTTTAAGTTAATTTTTAATTTGTGCGAGCAATAAATGCTTAATTACATTATTAATATATTAGAAGAGAGCAGTGGACAGAATATCCTAATTGGCATTTAACTAGAGCGTTCCGGCAAATTAGCCAAGACTTTCTCCAGCTTCGAGGAAGGAGGGCAAGCCAATTAGTCTCAGGCACAGCCTCTGTGGGCGGAGCTTTGCGCTGGAGAAGCCAGACCCACACTTTCCCTAGGCCTGAGGCTGGATACCCAACTTGGAGGATACTAGCTAGTATCTGCACTCACTTCCTAGTTGAGTTAGGCTTAGGAGAAAATTCCTGCTACTTAGGCCATGGCTCCTCCTTTTGTCCAAACCCAAAACCCTTGACCAGAGTAGGGAACCCAAGGCTGGGTAGCCTAAAACAGTCCCTGCCCAAGTAGGGCCGTCTGCCTCCTGCATGCCACCATTGCCTACTCCCAGCTGGTACCCTGTTCTCTAGAAACCATTCTCCGAGCAAATCTCTCGCTGCAGGTGACTAAGGGAATAAACTTGATGTTCAGGAGTCATATATTTGGTCACATGTTCTTTCACCTAGGTCACAGTTTTTTTTAAATGTTTATTTATTATATATACAATATTCTGTCTGCATGTATGCCTGAAGGCCAGAAGAGGGCACCAGACCTTATTACAGATGGTTGTGAGCCACCATGTGGTTGCTGGGAATTGAACTCAGGACCTTTGGAAGAGCAGGCAACACTCTTAACCACTGAGCCATCTCTCCAGCCCCCCTAGGTCACAGTTTGGGTCACTGGAGGCCAGACCACTCTGCTAGTCTGTGATTATGGCCGCTCCAAGAATTCAGAACAGCAAGGACGCTAGATTCCAAATGAGACATTGGCCTCCTGAGCTCTAGCAGGGCAGATCTGTAGCAGCGCAGGATGAGTATTGCTAGCTTTGTCTGAAAGGGGGTAACACGACCTCTGCCTTGACCTTGAAGAATACACAGGGGTCCTGCAGATATTGGGGTCACAAGTACTCTGGGCAAACTTCAGACATTGTTTGTCCCAAAGTGATCATGCCAGTCCAACCCCCTCACTCTGTACACGGAGATCTGAAGTCTAAAGTGGAAGCTAGGAACCCAGCTGCACCCCTGTAAATGTATTCTGAGCTTGCTCATGCTGAGCAGGGCCACCTCTGAGAGTGGGGAGTGGGAAGAGGGGTGTCAAGAAACTGAGGGGACAGGAAAACAGATCTAGAACAGATTTCTATTGACCGAAAATCAATACAAGCCCCCAGTGAAGCATAAGGTAGGCACACAGGAGCTACGTTGAGTACCTAGTAGAGCTGCCAATCATATTAGACTCATTGAGGAAGACTACCTTGGAAATATGCCAACAACTGGTTTAAAACAATGGCAGGGACGTGGATGGTGGCACAGTGGATGGAGGAAGGCTTCTGATGGCTGGAATAAGCGCTGGCTGGGCTCTGCTTCTGGAAACACCTCGATACCTGCCTCCACGTCCAACAGCTTCTGGCTTCCGGGAAGCAGTCTTCAGGCTTGACCTTGATGCTAACCTCCGTGGTCCTCAAGCCCTATTCTCTCCCCCTGGTTGATGGTGCTTGATGATGACCACCAAGTCCTGGTCTTTTGGGGACTGCTCTGTCACTCCTCATCTGTGCCACCAACTCTTAGATGACTGTCAGAGGCATTGTCCCCTCTTTTTCTCCCTCTGACCACCACTCCTCCCCAGGTACAGATACACACGCACACACACACTTCACACCCCATACTCGGCACCACCTCTGGCCTCATCATATTCAGTTCACCCTGGACTCCAGGCTCAGACTAGCACAACCTGCCTTGAAAGCCAACACAACAGCACCATCTGTGTACACCACTAGTGCCGGCTGAGCACAGAGTACTTAATCCAGAATCACTCAACGTGTTAATTACTTGCCTTGTGGCTATGACAAAAGAGCTGACCAAAGTGACTTAAGGAAGGGAGGGTTTATTCGGATCCTGCTTACTCACTCTTTGACAGTGTGTTTCATCTGGGTGAAGATGTCCCGGCATCAGGAAGGGCCACAGTCAGGAGGTAGAGAGGAGTGAGCATTTATGTTCCCTTCTTTTCTTTTCTTCAGTCTGCCACCAGAGCCCAGGGAATGGTGCTGCCCACATTTAGGATGGATCCTCCCAGTTCAATTAATCTAATTTAAATAATCCCTCACAGACATTTGTTGCCATAGTGATTCTAAATTTTATCAAGTTGACAGTCAAGATTAGCCATCACAGTTGGCTTTGTTTAAGGTTCTTGTTTTTGTTGTTGTTGAGATAGGGTTTCTCTGTGTAGTCCTGGCTATCCTGGAACTCACTTTGTAGACCAGGCTGGCCTCAAACTCACAAAGATCTGCTTCCCTCTGCCTCCCAAGTGCTGGGATTAAAGGTGTGCACCTCCACACTGGGCCACAATTGAGGTTTTAAAACACTAAGCCTTGCCCCAGGCAAGTATAGGCAGAACCTCTGGAGTTTGGGAGCTTGGGCAGTCTAAAAGACAGTCAGATTCAAGCCTCCAACATGAAGTTGGGAGCATCCTCAGGTGTCAGTCATGAAGAAAAAGCAGTTCCTGAGACAGGAGCATGACTAAGCAAGA